AATATTTTATATCTATATTTAAAATAATAAAAAAACAAAATAAAAGCCTAAAAGGGTCTGCCAATGGGTGGCCGAGCCCCTTCATCGTGTTGCAATATTCATAGAGTCGTCCAATGGAAGGACGAACCCTTTCAGAAATCGTGGCATATTGGTCAATTTTTTTCAATTTATAACAATTTGGTACATTTGATTTCGGTATGTGGCAATTTGGTAAAAATCTCACTTATTGCAACTTATCCGATATACAACCAATACATACCTTTGAATATACGGATACACATATATAAGTGTGGAATTTTCAAAAATTTAAAGCGAATAATAAAAAATAAAAAGAAAAATTAGTTAAAAATATTTAAAAATAAGGTTGACATTTTTTATAAAATATAGGAAATATGACTATAAATATAAGATTATGGGATAAAATTTTCGACTTTTAATTATGTGACCCACTCCCTTGCCAACCGTGCACCAAATGTTATACGGTGTGAATTGAAGATGCTCCATGTATAAATCTTGGTTAAAATTAGTTGTGATGTCGACTCTTAAATTTTGTTTCCTTAAAAAAAAAAAAAGAATGATGTATATTATTAATTTTTTTACAACAATATATTAATACTTAAATTTTATGACTTTTTAAAATTTTAAGTACCATAAATATACATCAAATTATTATATTTTAAAACAAAAAATTATTTATTTATTTATTTTAGATAATCCAAAAATTCAATGAATTAAAAGTTACTCTACAATGTAAAAAAAAACACTATATTGTTATTAAATTAATTTTGTTAATATTTTAAAAGTAATATGCATATAAATGGCAAAATAGTAATAATTTTCACCTTAAACAATTTTATTCTCTAAATGACATCTATTTTAAAAGGAAGAGAATATCATGATAAATTAAGAGTGCCAATTTAAATATTTACTCTATAATTAAAAAATATTTTTATAAGTAAAATTCAACTCATCATTTACATTAATTATTGGTAAACCAATTATCTCCACGTCCAAATAAAGACAAATCCAATAAATTCTCACTAAATCCACCATTCATACTAATTTAATTCATCAATATTTTAAGCAAATTTGACACATGAAATTTGAAAGAATATATATACTTGTCAGTCAAACACCCACCAACATCTCACCACAAAACGGTTGGTAAGTTTGTTTTTCAACTAGAATTCTTGCTAGTAACAAACCAACAAATTTCTAATTCTAATTCTTTTCTCAACTACAAGTCTTCTCTTTCTCCCTCTTATTCAACTTCCTATTTTGTTATGCAAGTGACAAATTCATAACAAAGAAAATCTCAATCTCAATCTCAATGCATAGAGTGTCAATGAATAGATCACTATGGTTACCAATATCCAATCCAACAACATACCAATCCTTAATGGATCCATTTCCAATTTCATCTCAATCTCATTCTATTGCATGGCAAGAAACTTGGCCATTCTTTCTTGCAACCCTCTCTATTTATTTTTGTGTTTCCGCTAGTCTTTTATATGGACTCTACGGCGATTCTCGTTTGATTCTTGGTCCAAGTTCATCGCGATTGGTGAAAACAAGTTCAGTTTTTGTGGAACAAATTCAAGTGACTAATGAGTATACTGATAAAAACCATGTTCATCTTTATGCTTTCGATAAAAAACCCGAGTTAAGTTCACAGATAAATTGGACTACATCGAAGTTCTTATCTGTTCAAGCATATAGTCGCAAGGTGACAATTTTTAATTTATAATTTATAATTTTATTCGACTTTATGTAAAATAATGTTGTGCTATCTATGAAGATTTATTTTTAATTTATTCATAGGGAATTTCTTTGTGGTTAAATAAAGGCTCTACTATATTTTTGAGGTGGGAAGCAGACGCTGGTAGTTTAAATCAACTTGAAGGGATGGTGATTAAAGGTTATTATTTTATGTAATCTTGTTTTTATTATGTTATTTTTCAAGAATCTAAGTTTTCTCATGAAAGATTCATTCTTGTTTCACAGGAGAAAGGAAGTATGAAAAACTAAAGCCTGAACAAACTATCTTTCACGAGGCAATGCCAATTGTTGTTAGAGAGACTAACAACGGTAAGTGATTAATTCAAAACTACTATTACAAATAGAATCATTTTAAGTTTTTCAAGAACTCGTGTAGATTAAAATCGGTTCAACCGTAATCAAACAAATAGGAACCCTATTCTACTGCGGATAAACTCTATGTGTGTTGTAACACATTTTGTCGATTCTTAAAATGATTTTGAGTGTTAATTTACCATCGTTAGCTTTGAGTCAATATATTGACCAAAAACATCCGGACTATTACAAAAGTTTTAGACCCGCACTCTCTAATTTTTCTATTCCGACTGTTTTTTTTTTGGTTTTTGTGGATAGTGACATTATGGTAGGTTTTTGAAATTTTTAGATTTTAGATGTGTAGTAGTGCTCGCGAACCTGTTTCACCCTTATTTGTTTGCACGTCGGAGTAAAATTTTAGCCACACACCTTCAATTTATATCCGTCTCGCTCTATTTTTTTCAGGACGAGTATGCCCGTTTGTAACCTAACTTTGATTTTAAGAAGTCTATAAAAAGTGTTTAGAATATTTGCATTAGAATGCAACTTTTCATTTGCGGTTCTAATCAATTTTTGTTTATTAACTCAACTTGAAGGTAAAGAAGCTGAATACATTGTTGAGGAAGATGATAGGTACCACATTGGTGTTCTAAACATGAATGCAAGGAACATAATCTTGACCATGAATGTCAATGTTTCTGCAAAGATATATGATACTACAAAGTCCACAAATATGTGCTCTACTAGGACTGGATCATGCAAACTTGGCACTTTTTTCCCTATCACATACTATGTAATTCTAACATCACCAAAAAATGTAAGACTATTAAATTTCTATTACACAACAATGTTAATGCATCTTTTTTCAATGAAAAATTCATCATAGTTTATATGAATTCACTACAGGGAAATAATTATTATAATGATGATGATGCATGGTATGTTGAAGTTTCATTTTTAGCTCGCGTTTTTTCGTACATAACTCTTTTAGGTAAGCTCAACTAATTTTAATTTTTTTGTGAAGCATTTGTTTTTTTTATGTGATGATGATGATGCTGCTGCATGATTTTGAAGGAATTTTCATGGTGGTGATTTTTCTGATATTGAGATGTCTTGGACCTGGTGATGGTGGTGATAACTACAATGTAGTTGGAGAGCAAGAAGTAACCGAAACCGAACCTCTCGTAAGTGCGCAGACGAATATAGTGACATATGGAACAAACAAATTACAAGAAAAGAAAGACTCAGACTCAGAATCAGAATCAGATGCGTTGAGTAGTTCTTCGGAGGAGTTATACAATGAAAAATTGTGTATAATTTGTTATGATGAGCAGAGAAATTGTTTCTTTGTTCCTTGTGGCCATTGTGCTACTTGCTATAATTGTGCACAAAGGTAAACACTAATTGCACTATTATATTGACTGTGAATTTGACAGAATTACATCGTGACATGTCGATTTTAGCAAAAACTATATTTCGTGTTTCGCGTATGAGATTCTGATTAGTGTTTTTTTTTCTTCAGGATTGTGGATGGACAGAGTAAGGTTTGTCCGGTATGCCGGAGACTTCTTCATAGAGTAAGAAGATTGTTCAATAGTTAGGCTCAGAGTTCTAATTTGGAATCCACAACAATTTTTTGTGTAATGTAAAGATTTTAGAGATCTCTATGTAATCGCAATTTTAGGCGCATTGGACACAATTTTTATGTTTGCAAGTTCAGTGTAAAAATTGTGTCTGTTTTTTTGCTTCTGTTTATGAGGAAATTATAAAGGTTAAGCTTTTACCAGCAATCTAACAAATATAAAAAGATGTTACTGTCATTGAACTCTATTTCAATTTATATTCATCTGTTTATATTTATCCATTAAGTTTGGGAATAAGTTAGAGTAGCTAGCTTTGTCAAATTTGAGGCTGATCTAAAGTCTAGGGGTTACCTATAGTCTGTTATAAATTTAATTTTAAGTTTGATGAATATGTTTTTTTTTTTTAAAACAGATTGATTTTTAACCTAATTAAAAATTTATTTTATTTAAATATATGTAAATAAATAATTTTATTAATGTTCCTATGGATTAAAAATTAAAAGATCAATAAAAATAAAAATTTGTTTACATTGATTTATCTGAATTTATTTAGTAGAATTAATTTTTTACGACTACTTATTTAAAAAAATTTATAAAAACAACTTATAACATTTTTATAAGATGTTTTTAACTTTTTTATGCGACTATTTTCATGAGATATTTCCAACTTATTATTATTAGTTATTCAAAATAAATATATAGTTTTTAATTTTAGTTCAAAGTATATTATATAATAATAATAATAATAATAATAATAATAAAATTATTTATATTTACTTATATAAGTCGAACCGATAATTTGATATATTTAAAAAAAAATTTATATACCTAATATTTTAAACTAAATAAGTTAATAAAAAGTCTAATTATTTTCTATTTAAAAAAATTTGTTATGCCTTCTGTTCTTCCCCTGATTAGTTAACCAATACTTTTAATTTTAAAGGTGTTTAAATTTAAATTGACTCAAATAAAAATTACAAACCGATATAAAAATAATTAAAACAGTAAACTGATAAAAATTTAAATTGTATGAAATTAAATCAAGTTATATCAAATTTTTTTTATAAATGTCATTTAAAACTAAATTGAGCCGCAAATTTTTTTATCTTTGAAATATTTGCTTGAAAACTAATACCCTACTAAGTACATTGATTAACAAGCAAAATCATGAGAATCAAAGTACTAGTTTTATTAACTAAAAACAACCATAGAGTTTGATCAACACATTACACCTACATAAAGGATCCATATTTATTCTCCTTCTCATCAAAATTGATCAACCATAAAGACCAAATATCTTTGAAACCATATTTCATAACACGGTACCAGTGAAGAAGAAGTGAATTAAGGGCATTTTGGGGTTCCTTTCGAGTTCCTCATGTCTCTGTAACAAGGACATTCATGTTTGTTACCATATGTCCCTGATGGCACACACTTACACTTCCTGCAACATATTCCACAGAAATTCAAACACATGTCTCTCCTCCCCGCTTTCGAGCACCTCTGTCTGCACTTCGCCGTGCAGAAACCACCTGCATCTGATTCATATCCAGCAATTCACAGTCACTACTGTTAATTAAGTTTTTAATGTAGTAATATAAGTTTAGTTAAATAAGCTTAGTTTTTAGCTATTCAGAGATATCTATGCATGGACGCAAGTTCGAACCAGCGAAGAGTGTTACACAAAAAAAGTAATAACAACTAATTAAGAGTAATACATCTAGAAATTGAGGTTATAAACATACCAACACCAAGTGCTGAGATTTCAAACATAGATGAGGAGAGGATAAGACACACAAGTAGAAGAGCTGCAAATGCTGGCTTCATCTTACTATCAAAGAGAAAGATAGAGACCAGATTTAATTAGAGTGACACTCACTAGAAGAGAAGAGAGGAAACTGTGAGAAATTCTGAGTTTATGTGGTTGAGTTGTGTGAGTGTGAACAAGTGAGTGGGATTATTTATAGTAAAGAATGGGTAAGTGAAAAGGTTGAAAGGTAAAAATAGGTGGATTATTTAACGAATTTAACCTCCGATTTGGTGGAGTAAACATCTGACACGGCGGAGTCGGGTGAACTTGTAAAATTAATACGTACAAATTATTGAATGAGTAAGAAAAATAGTTTGAGTTAATAAATCAAATAATTATTCAAATGATGACGCACATTGTGCTTTATATATGAGTTAATTTTCAATACTATTTCAACAGTTAATTTTCATAAATTTAAAAAAAGTACATGTTTCAATAATTTAATGTTTCTATTTATTGTAGTGTACCATGGTTCTAAAACCATGGTTGTCAACAATTATTTGAAAACCATGAACCAAAGATAGAGCAAATCTATTGGCATCAAAATTGCAAGCAATGAGACAGCTGGATAGTGTGGTATATTGTGAGGAAGCCGCGTAGGTACATTTTGGCTACGACGATAATTAAATTGTCGTTTGTCCCCGTCGACATGAAACTTTGCATTTGCTCATTGAGATTTTCAATTTGCCATATTCATTGCATTGCATTATATTGCATTCAATGTGTTGTTTCTTTATGGAAGAAACAGCACTTAATACTTGTTTATTTACGTGGCTTTTTCCATGGTCCCTCACAAGCTCACATCACACTCATCTTCAATTTACTATACTACGTACTAGTTTTCATTTAGTTTTCATTTATGTATCTATAAGGAAAACAAATAATGAAGTTTAAGACAATTAAGTTACAATTTACAAACGGTTTATATGGTCACTAAATTTTCAAACAATATTTTTCTACTAACTGATTTGACACCAAAATTTGATAATTAGTGAGTCATTCTTAGCCGGGGCATAAACCTTGCCAATATAACATGATGACACAATGCAATGATCAACTCCAAAATCATTCTTAAAAATAACTTGTCTAGATATTTAGAAACACCAACCTTCTCACATTGTTCATGATCAACTCCAAAATCATTCTTAAAAATAACTTGTCTAGATATTTAGAAACACCAACCTTCTCACATTGTTCAGAGTTATATGGGGTATATTCAAATTAGATAGATATCACTGTATATCTTAGAATCAATTATAGTAAAAAAGTTATGCTTGTCCATTAATAATCTCAAATATCACTTTAATGAAGATAACAACTACACTAAGCGCATACGAATCCAACCACTTTATAAATAAAAGGCTCATCTTTCAAATATGGTCACTTAATTAATTTTGACAAAACTATTATTTTAGTTCTTTAAATTATTTTAAAATATCAAATTAATTCTTTAAATTTTTTTTTAACGTTTCTGTACCTTTTTAAAAATCTCCGTTATAATAAATTGTAAACTCATTTGAACTGGTTTTTCGCGCTGATCACGAATATGCAATCAAATTTATCAAAAAATTTACGATTCATGAAAATCAGGTAAAAATGGAGGAAATACATAATAAAAAATCAACGGTTCGACCAAAATACACAATCAAACGCAAAACTAATTACATATTCATGATCAGCGCGAAAAACCAGTTTAAATGGTATATGAGTTTGTAATTTATTGTAATGGAGATTTTTAAAAAATGATCAAAGTGTTACAAAAAAAACTTAAAAGACTAACTTGATATTTTAAAATAACTTAAAGGACCTAGACACTAGTTTTGCCATCAATTTTCATACTTACTATATAAATAAGAGGTTCATCTTTCAAGTATGATCACTTAATCAATGTTCATACTTACTGTATGCATATACTTGACATTACTTTAGTATTAGACAGACTTTGCAGATACATATTTGTTTATCTTAAAAAATGGTAATCAATCGCTGGTCTCTAAAATATGGGTTACTTGTAAGATCAATCAGTGAATCTTAGGACATAGTGCCTAAGAATCTCCCAGTTATTGATTTCTTTGTGTTCTAGAATGATGGACTTCGACTTGGTCGAAGGAAAGTGTTGAGTTGATATTATATTGACAAATTCGACTATTGTAAGAAAGTAAAGTAAAGTAACCAGACTGGAAACATTGAAAGAAAATTAAAGGCTTTAAAACGAAATGAAGATGAAAGAAACAAAGCGAAGTATAAATTAAGTAAATAAAAAAAATTGCATTCAAAGTAGAATATGCTGTTTCATATGTTCTTACATCCTCTAAGCCATTCGCTCGTTTCTCTTAACGTCGATACTTTGAGTTTTTCAGTGATATTTTTATAACACAATTGAACACCCCTAATTCAACATAATGAACTACTATATATACAAGTTTAAAGAGAACTACCCCTAAGATTTCCATCATCAGATCTCGCCACGTGAAACTTTGCATGCAACATATCTTCATACTCCCTCCACACGTCTCTTCAGGAAAAAACCTCAAGACAGTTATTGATATTTGAACATGGAACTGCGCGTCCAACTAACTGCCTTATCGACCATTTCGTCATTGTCGCACAGACTATGCGTTCGATGATGCTTCTTAGTCGAATGTCTCTTAAAATAACAAAAAATCTTCTAAGTCCATATTCTTGGTCGAACTATGACTCTTTCAAGACTGCCCTTGTTTGCTGGGTTTCTTTCATTGGCTAAAAATCCCATCAAACAATATTTCCCTCACCATGAGGTACAATAAAATCATACAAGAACTATGAGGTACAATAAAAGATTGATAGACCTCCTAGTTCAACCATCATGACGATAATTGGACTATAGGCTCCACTTGAATCCTAAAAAGGTAAGCCAAATCATTAGAATAAAAAATGAAGGATTAAGGCACAAGAACTCACCATCTTAGGTGTATCTTAATTGAGGCAAAAATTTCATTCATCTGTGTTCTTGATCAACTCCAAGATCAAGAACATGATGACACAATGCAATGATCAACTCCAATATCATTCTTAAAAATAACTTCCCTATACATTTAAAAACACCAACGTGCTCGCATTGCTCAAAGTTATATGGAGCATATTCAAACTAGATAGATGCCACCATATATCTTAGATTCAGTTATAGTAACAAAACTATATTTATCCATTAGTGATCTCAAATATCATTTCACTGAATATAACAACTACATTAAGTGTATATACGAATCCAACCACTTTATAAATAAGAGGTTCATCTTTCTAGTATTCTCACTCAATCAACATTCATAATTACTATGTGAATATACTTAACATTACTTTATTACTAAACAATCTTTGCAGATATATATTACCCTTACTCTGATGTACAATAAAATCATACAAGAACCCGCGAGGTACAATAATAGATTGATAGACCTCATAGTTCAACCATCATGGCGATAACTGGAATATAGGGTACACCTGAACCCTAAAATGGTAAACCAAATCATTAGAATCGAAAATGAAGGATTGAGGCATAAGAACTCACCATCTATGTGTGTGTTAATTAAGGCAAAAACTTCATTCATCAATGTTCTCAATCACTACAAATGGATGAGGCAAAAGGATCTAGAAGGCTTGACATTTTGCAACCTAGACATCAAGTACACAATGAGGAGGTACGAGAGAACACCACATATGTGATGGAAGCCCAAATCAAGTGACTAAAAAAAGAGTGAAATTGGTCAGGAAAAAAATGAAAGCACTTAAACCACCCATCTTCATAAGAAAATGACTATGACAATACCACCAAATTAAAGCCAGGTAGTGAGATTTGCTCTCTAGATGCACTAAGGAGGAATAGAGAAAAGAAAGATGTAACTTATCTTTCATTCATGAACGATACCAACAAAGATTCAATACCAAGATGATTTCGACTTCCTACCATGGATAAGTATGACCGAAAGATGAAGCTATAGGAGAACATGACATTATTCAACGCTAAAGTGAAACTACGATGAGAAGTTGTCACTTTTAAGTGTATCATTTTCCATATACTCTAAAGATATTTTCCTATTATGATTCTCATAAATTTGAAAGGAATCCATCAAGTCTTGGAAGCCATTGAATGATATGTTCATCTCCAAGTTCACAATGAGTTGAATAACACAAAAGAACTTAACATGCTTTGTCACATTCAAGAAAAACAAGAAAAGTTCCAAAGTTTATTCATCAATCATTTCAATAATAAGACACACCATATCAAGAACTTGAACCCAATTGTTGTCTTGCACACAATAGTGGTGTGTATTAAACCGGTCTCATTTTCTAACCCATTATTGCGTGGACCATCTGAAACATTTGGCAAGCTTTGAAAAAAGATAGAAGAATAGATAATTATGAAGGAGATATCTAAAATAAAACAATGGGACTTCAAAAGATCTCCCCCATAATGATCAATATTGAGGTGAATGACAAAATGATTAAGGGAAATATATGAGGAAATATTACTTCTTCAACTATACTCAATCGATAGAGAAATCCATAAGGATATTTTGAGAAGCCTATAACCCCAACCTCATCAATCTACCCCGAAAAAGGGAATCAAAACCCAATGTAGATATGGGGATTTATTTTGAATACCATAAGATTCATGGTTACTCCAATAATGTCTGTCAGGGGTTGAAGATACATATTGAGAAACTAATTTGTGAAAATCTTTTATAGAAATACATAGATAAAAAAATAAAATTCTATAGACTCGAATAATTCTTTCCCTTAGAGAAGGATCTCCAGGTCACTAGCACCTTAGACGAAATTGAGGATCCTTGAACGAAAAGAAAGATGAGAGGAAATGTGGGGATTTAACACCTTAGTCCAAAGAGATCAACATTATTTCAAGAGGATTCGCTAAAAGAGGAACTTCCAACATTGCCATGAAAATGTATCTTTGTGCTTCCAAGTCGATATGCACTTTTACATTGGTAGGAAACATCTTACATAGATTACAATTATTTGA